GCACCAAAAGGCCGCCTCAGCATCGCACGCTTCAACAACCATCATCACCACCAAGCACGCCACAGTGACCTGTCAGACCCAGCATCACCATTCGTCGCCATGTCCAGTGGTGTTATAAACGGCGTCTCCCAACCCGCCTTGACGGTGGCGAACCCGCAGACGTCGGAAAAGGCCGTCAATCCTTTGAACCCAAAAGGCATCAAACCGTGAGTGCGAGGCAATGCTATGGATGCTGATGCGGATGCGTGGATGATCAGATGCCTCATGCCATGATCTGACCTCGCTCCTCCACATCTGCTCCTGCTCATCCATCTGCAGCTGCTGTGCATGTCCGGACACGAAGGCGGCGAGGGATGACTGCTTTTTGAGGTATGGCCATTCGGTAGAGGAGCATGGAGAACAGGCTCGAAAGTGCGAGGATCTCGTCTCCCAGCACAGGGCCTGCATGGCACAACTCGGCTTCAAAATCTAAATCCAGCCGCATAGCCAAATCTCGTGTCATGCACCGCGCTCTCCTCTCTTCATCTGTGAGTATCTTGGCGTACGGGTGCTGCGACGAGGATCTGATTCGATCCTGCCATTCATGCGGCCTACAGGCAATGTACCATCCTCTCGCATGCTGCGCTCGTCTCGCTTGCAATGACATCACCGCTTCACTCTAACTCTAGACGCTGCGCACCAAGAACATGATCACGAAGGAGCAGCACGCAGACAGTCGAGCTACAGCTTAGGGCAAGTGGCGAGGGTGATCATTACGCGGTGACTCGAATCGTAGCAGGCATTGAATGCATCTGAAGTGGTGTAGGTCGAGCAGCGAATGCAGACTCGTCTATTGAGTAGTAGTCTGATGGTTGGAGAGGTTGAGCTAACGGTAAGCACGTTGCAAGTCACTCTCTGCTTGCGCGTACTCACCTTCTCGGCTCCCAGCAGAGACATGGTTGCCTCAAATGCCAGCAGAGCAGAAGCGTTGGTAGGGAATGCCCTCAGCAAGCAAGGAACGAAACCTGTGTAGAACGTTCGTATCCGCAAGTAGAGCGGGGCATTGGGACCAGCGTGGCTCCATACACTGACAAAGGCTGACCGTATGGTTGGGAATTTTGGATTTTCGAGAGAGTCGGCCATCATGCGATTCTACACGAGGCAGGAGGTTGGTCAGATCGCGACACTTCTCTGCGTCGCGCACAACTTCACGAACCTTGATGACGTCAGCAGGAAACGCCGTCAGCCAGAAACACTCTGCTGCTAGCCCTCCACTGATGAATGTCGCTGTGCCCGAGCCCATTTCCCACTTGGTGCCGTTCCACGATTCGAAGGTCCTTTGGAAGAAGTCATAGCTGCGAAGTTTCGATTGCTTTGAGCTCAAAGTATCTGATATCGAGAAGCCTGAATGGTGCCCTCACCTGCAGAACATGACCGCAAAGTTGCTTCTGAACATCAGAGTGGCCGGCAAAGTGCCCCATAATCCCATCAGGCCTTGTGCTCGAATGACTTGCCTCGCACAATCGATCGGGCCTGTAAAGCCGTGAACCTTTGCGACGTGTTCGCCAGCCTTTGGAGCCGCACTGATGCGTTGTGACTGCATCTGTAGCTTGGCTTTAAGCAGCTCGATTGGCGTTGTAAGGAACGAGTTGACCCAACCAGCGCTGATTGAAAAGACAAAGAGAGAGGCATCTTAGGTCACAGATAGCTCAAGAGGTCAAGGAGCGTCACTCACCCTAGACCAGCAGCAGCGTGTCCCCAAGGAGGCAACCTCTTTCCAGTCCCTTCGCCAGTATCCGTCGCCCTCTGTAATGCCAACCTCAGATTGTGAAGCGTTCCCATCAAAACCGCATCGGATATTCCCCACCCGACAAGAGGTGGTGTGGCACCTTTGTAAAGCGCTCGAAGGCCCTCTTTGCGAGCCAGCTGTAGAAAACAATCCAAAGGGCCTTTGTATGTGCCGTAAGGCGTACATTGCAGCCTCACTTTGATCTTTGCGACCAGGCAGACAAGAACATCGCTACGTTCAGCTCGATGAGCCCGAAAGGCAGAGTTGCGGACAGCCACATCTCTCGGCCCTGTCTCGACATCACTCACCGTATCAAATGGGTGTCCGACAGCCATCTTTGTTGCCCCGCTGACTATGCCAGCAAAGCTGCCCTTTGCGGATACCTTGCCCTCCTTCTTCGGTGGACTTGGGTCATTGTCTAGTCTTCCTTGCGGTACTGCATCTGACGAGACGATGGCCGGTCCTTCTTGGCCCACGACCGCGCCTTGGGTGAGCGAGCCTCGAGATGCTGGGGCCATGACCTGGAGGATGAACGAGAGGGTGGGCGGTTTGGTGTACAGGCAGGCCCGCGCAAGAAGCACCGCAAGGGGCCCCACGAATGGGAGAAGTGAGGATGAGTGTGAGGGAAGGCTCAGATGTATCGTGAGGGCTGCATTGTTGGGAAACACGAATCCTCTTCGAAGAACGCTACTCCCACAAACTGTGACTTGATGCAATCAACGCACAGCATGGTGGACTGACGTTAGCTAAGCCCATCCGTCAGCTGATCAAGCTGATGAAGATCTGCAGCGCAAAGGCCACTTCGACTCGCAACTTGCACCAGACGCGTGACTGCCATGCCATGAGCATGCGGGCAGCCGATTTGAAATCAGCCGCGCATGCACGCAGCAAGCCCTCCCTCGCTCCACGACAACTCACAACACAGACTACTAGCCGCCGCAAACAACACAATCACGGTGCCTTCGATGAGCGCAAATTGGGAACGCAAAGCAATATGTCATCATCTCGATTCAACGTCGAGTGTCCAAATCACCTCCCTGCTTCAGATTCACGACTGCTTTTCATACCACGTCTGTTTTGGTGCACACTTTGTCGTCCTTGCGTGGTGGCTCTTGGGAACCCTTAGCTTGCAAAAAGCGTCGTGTTCAGCGTGTTAATCCAGGTGGACACACTTTCCATTCTCATTCGCGATTCGGGCGTCGGATCGTCCCAGACCGGCCAGTTGGCCTTGGGCCGCGGAACATCTGAAGTGAGCCTGCATCTATAAGGCCACAGACACTTGCTTCAAAGTTGGCTCTTCCGCAGCGCGATGTTGCCGGTGATTGCGACCGTCGGCAAGCGGACCTGTTGCTGTGAGCGCAAGCTTAAAACAGGTGACCGTTCAGCGCCTTGAGGAAGCCAGAAGGTCCATGCATCTGCAATCGCATCTCTGCATGCCAGTCTTTGTTGTTGTACAAGACAAAGGTAATGGTTCAACAGCTGCTGTGACTATTGGCAGCAACCTGGTGCGCCAATCAAGCGCACTGGTCTGCAGTCAACGCGGAGAACACGAGCAGCAGATAGCTGCAAAGGCTCGTGCGCACAGAGTCGCCACTGCCCAGCCAATTGGCCTGCTTTCATACAAGCGATTGGGAGCCAGCCGTTGTAGCTACGCCTGTGAAGCATCTGGTAGTGATGCTCGATGGGCGGTTGCTTTGAGGACAGGTGTGCTGACTGTCGAATGTCGAACGTGGCAGACTTGCTGGGCAAACTCGAGAGAAGTGTGCCCATGAGCCTGTTCCTTGGTCTGAGCTACTTTTGAGTGGATAGCTTTGGCCTCCAGGATGCCATGCGCTTACCAATGGCGTACTGGATGGAGGTCTACTAGCTGAGGTGGACCGCCATCGTCAGTGCAAGCAGCGCGGACAGAGAGAATCTGGCTTTGCTCGCCCTCTACGGCTATGAAGAGTGGAATTTCGAACAGCATATCCTTGGAGGCTTAGACACGTTGAAAGGGGCACGTTTGAAGAGCTAAGGTAGAGGCAATGAGCGATCTGATTGGCGGGTGGAGTGGATCGCCTGCTGGACTGAGTGGTCGTGGCGAGAGGCATGACAACTGTCGGGGCTGATGAAATCCAAACGATATGCTGACGTAAGCATTGGGTCAGAATCTCCACAACGATCACGACTCTCGTTGTGCAACATCATTGAAGAGCATCTGCGTGGGGCAGTCGCATGTATCTTTGGCAATGCTGACCCAATGTGGATTGGCTGCAGCTCCTGGTTGGTGTCATCGTTGTCCCCTTCGCCCCAGAAAGTACAGACGGCATAAAAGCGAACCTTTTGACTTCTTACGAGGCGATCCCTCAAAAAATGCCAAAGGGACGTAAGTATTACTGCTTGTACCCGAGATGTGTGCGTCATTACGCTGCTCAGTAAAGGATGTGGACAAAGGCGCATCTACCCTCATAGTCGCGAATCCATCGCGCGTTGCAATCATGAGCTGAAGCCAGACCCCAGCACGATTGCAGTTGCTACCGCGCGGCCAGCTCACCTCTAGCCATGATTGCACCGCTTTGTAGCTATCCCTCAATGCAGAGTCCTGGTTTTCAGAGCAATGCGAGGAAGTACACGACGAGTCGGAGACTACGAAGCCAGGGTGAGGGCACCCAAAAACCCAACCAGCTTGTCCCGATTGTGAACAAACTTTCCGTCTCGGAATGCTAACCCCCACTAATTCCCTCACAAAGTCATCGAGAGAACCAGTATTACTGCTCCAATTTCATAAGTGTTGTGGTTGCTGCGGTCGGTGTCAGGATGGCCCTTGGCCTGGCTGCTGACATTGCAAGGTAGCTAGCGATAGCCCTCGCAAGCTACGCTATGGGTTTTGCGCCTAGTTTTGTCGCGATGCTGACAAGCTCGAAGCTTTAATCACTTCCTTCTGCATGGAGGTGCTGCTCCTCTGGAACTTGGCGGTCATCGAGATGACGCCTGGCGCATATAGCGCTCCGCAAGCCACCGAAACGGTAATCTTTGGGCAGCAGTGCAGGACGGCATCGACTACAAAATACTTGCTTTTGTGGCCCGTCCTGCGCAAAAGAGACGTTGCGTGGCCATGACTATCACGCGCGCATGTCTGGCTCCGTGTTCGGCATTTTTTGGAATAATTAATACCCTCGTCAACTGAATGTGATCGGCTCCGACCTAGAAAAATGAGGCACACCTGGCTACTATGCATTGCTGGGTGTAACAGCAAAATATTGCTACGCTATGCTTGCTTTACTTACCCGTTTAACCCTTGACTCATTTTCCTTTGCGCCAAATTGGTTTGCACTCACCCAATGAGCTCTACCCTTGAAAACACCGTTGATCCAGTCTGACTGATGGTCGACTTCTTGTACTCTGATCGGTATTCAGGCCCCGTCGAGCATGCTCTTTCCACTGGAAAGAGCTTGAGATAGCGTAGCGGATACTTCCTGGCTGATAAGAATCCGTTAGAGCTTGAATATCAGCCCGTGACAATCAAATGAGACCATGCAGGGAAAGAAGAGTAACTCCAAAAGACATAATCATAAAGTTTGACGAATTGAATCACGAGATCAAGCGAAAGCCATCATGGTTTCCCATGCGTGCGCCGCACTAGGTGCTTCAGATGGTAAAAAAAACTCGGTTCTAGCTCGACACATCTTTGTTGCAGACCTTTCAGGAAGCAATTACTGAGTAACACATAATTGGGATGTCTCGTTTGGTGTTGTGAACAAAGCAGGTGTAGCAGTCGAGCCGACAGCGTCCATGCGCTCAATGCATTGGCGTTCATTTTCTATTATCATCGAAGCAATTTACTGGCGCTCGC